CACACACACATACACACACACATATATATATATATATATATATATATATATATATAATATCTATGCCTATAAGTTGATAGTTTTAATGCTTCGTTGAATCGAAATTAAATACCCAGACCAGTACCTTTATCTCTGTCGATTTGCTCATACTATTTTGCAATTGTAATGTCGTGATTTATCTTGGAGCCGCTTTTAATGGTGACTGTAGAAGAGCAGCCCGAGTATAAGGGTTTAAAAATGTTCGTGCAATACATGAAGTCATTTCTTCATTCAGAAGTGGCAGTTTACTCCGAAATAGATGAATGAATATGTGAAATGAATAGAAGAAAGACGAATGGTTGCTGTCAGAATAACAGAAGAAATGGAGAAGGACGTTCAGGCCAACATAAGGACTAGCATGTGGTGTAGCCACGCGCACACACACACGCAAACACAGCAGGGACAGTGGGGTATGATTCATTAACAACAGAAGAATTTAATTGGATTACAGACTGGTTTTCACAGACCTTGAGTCTGTCTGCTGTGTGTGTGTGTGTGTGTGTGTGTGTGTGTGTCTCTCAACTCATCTATGATCTCATACTCGCACAAAAGGGCTGAACCAGTAGAGAATTTTTGACCAATGCCGGGAATAATTATTAATTCATTATTAGTGCAAGCATCACTGATACTATTGCTCATATTAAGGGTTGGTGATTTGAACAACCCCTAAACATCTGTGCTGTGGACAGAAGATTGTGTGACTTGTTGAGAGGAGGTATGCTGTTACTCCTAAAAATGATCAGGAATTCAGGTTTATGTCTTGGTTGCAACCTGCATTTTGTGTTGATCATTTAGGGTTTATTTTGTCATTTCACGGTTTTCCGGACCTATACTTGGGAGATGAAGTTCGAAACTTGGGAAAGTTTCAACAAACAAAAAATTACACACTTCTCCTGTTAAAAAATGCTTAGGCTGTATTGGCCGATATTAATATGATTGTGGATACATTGCACATCTCTATTTTTACAAGTCTTGCTAATACTTTTAAATTGACGCGAGACCAGCAGATCCAGAGCGAAATGCGAAAAGCAGCTTGCAATGACAGAGAGGAAACAGGACAGATGCAGAGAACGAAAGAAAAGAGACAGAAGGAGAGAGAGCGAGAAGATGGAAAATTAAGACGGTTGTCATTCTGATTGTTATCCTCTCTTCCTCGCAACAGAACAGCTTGAGACGAGCATCCTGGCCCTGTCAGGTCTAATTAAGCCAGCATCTGCATCTCCAAACGCACGCACCTGCTTGACGGGCAGCCGTGACGGGCAAGTTTAAAAGATTGAGTGACAGCGACTAGGTGGCTCCTCACAGAACCCACAAATAATCCCAAATATTTAAACCAGGTGCTTGGCATGTCAAAACATATCAACATGAGCCCACGGAGACAGATTAAGAGTGAAGGAAAGCGAGAAAGGCAGGGATGGGCAGGGAACAACAGGCCTTGACTCATCTTTGCTCTAGCAAGCAGGTCACACCTTCACCGGGAGGTCGAACACGAGTGTTGCAGGAAGGCCAACTCATATCACAGAGCCATAGCCTTTGTTTGAGAGCAGGAAACGGTGGTCGGGAATCTGAATGAAGCCACTAAAACAAAAGGGAAAGAACGGTGGGAGGGAGCCATCGAAAGACCTCAGGGGAGAAATGAGCAAGGACAGAATAATAACCGTGTCCCTGATTCTTTATTGGGACTTAAAAGTGTTTTGCACTTTGGTGGAGGGTTATAGCAGTTTAGGAGTAAGCAGTAAATGTGATTCATACAAACCTTTTAATACAGTTTTGACTTCCCTAACATTTTCTACTTTTTTCTTTTTATACAGTCAGACATTTCACTGTCAGTCTGTGTATTAGTGGTGGGATTTTACCATGAATCTTTCTGCAGTTTATATTGTTACATCTGTTGGTGTCGACAAGTGACTCATTACTCATTCATTTAACCGATTGTTCAAATACACTGAATCATTCAGGAATGAAACAAGTCTTTAAGAACGAGTCACTGAATCACTCAACCTATTCGCTCAAAAACACTGAGCCATTCAGAAATGAAGCAAGTGATGTTTTTATGAGTGAGTCATTGAATCACTCACCTGATTCATTCAAAAACACTGACTCACTCAAGAACTGGTTCGATGAATCACTATTCATTATAAAATACGGAATCATTTTGGAACGAATTCATTGAATCACTCAACAGATTTACTCAAAAACTCAGAATCATTCAGGAATGAAGCAACCACCAAAAACACACTAGCAACCACTTATTAATGCCCTAGCAATCACCCAGAATATCCAAACAACCATCCAGAACATCCTAAAAACCACCTATCAACACCCTAGAAACCACCTATGAACAACCCATCAACCACCCATTAATTCCCTAGCAACCATGTAA